TTTCTTACAAGCAATATAGTTAGAAAATGTAATGGAAAAAACATCCCTTTTTATGATCGTGAAGAAAACTGTAAAACATTTATACTGATAATGATGAAACACTGTGGATTTATGTAAATAAAAGTGTAAAATTGTCAAAAAAAAAAAAAAAATCAAGCCCATTGTTTGGAAAGGATGAAGGAGAATAATACGCAGGATATCCTCATTACAGATTTGTTCTCCCCTTGCTTTATAAAAGCATTTTTAATAATAAAATCAGACACTGATAAAAAAAAAAAAACTGCCCTCTTAACACTGTTTTTACTGTATCTCAGAGATTTTGATAGCTTTTGTCAACATTGTCATGTAATTCAAACATTTTTTTAATTTCCATCATAATATCACTATTGACCCAAATATTATTCAGCTGTAGGTTGTTTAATTTCCATTAATTTATACAGTTTTGAGAATTCCTCTTGGAATTGATTTCTAGTTTTATTCCACTGGGGGCTGAGAAGATAAATGGTAGGACTTCTATATTTAAAAATGTGCTAAGACTTGTTTTGTGGATTAACATATGGTCTATCTTGGAGAATGTTCCATGTGCTGATGAGAAGAATGTATATTCTGCATTAGACTGGCCAAAGTCAATCCGAAGAAGCAACTCCTACAAGCCATGAGACAAAAACATCAAGTAACTTACAAGGGAAAACTCATCAGACTAAAAGCAGAATTCTCAACCTTACAAGCCATAAGGGATTAGGATCCTATCTTTAGTCTTCTTAAACAGAATAATTGTCAGCCAAGAATTTTGTATCCTGCAAAACTATGTTTCATAAATGGAGGAGAAACAAAATCTTTCCCAGATAAGCAAACACTAAGGGAATTTGTCACCACTAGCCCTGCCCTATAAGAAATGTTCAAAAGTACTCTAGAAATCCAAAAGAACAGTCTATACTCACCAGCATAAAAACACTCAAAAGTATTATAACTCCACAGCTCTTATAGACCAGTAACAAAAGAAGGAATAAAAAGAAACTGGTAACAATCAACATGATATGGGAACAATATCTCACTTTTCAATACCAACAATGAATGTAAATAGCCTAAATGCCCCACTTAAAAAATATAGATTGAAGGAATGGATAAAAAGACACAACACAAATATTTACTGTTTCCAAGAAACCCACTTATAAAATTTCTCATAGACTCAAAGTGAGGGGTTGGGAAAAATATTCCACACAAATGGAAACCAAAAAGGAGCAGGAGTAGCGTTCTTATATCAAATAAAACAGATTTTAAATCAACAACAGTAAAAAAATTGCAAATATGGTCATTATATAATGAAAGCATCAATTCAACAAGATGTAACAATCTTAAATATATATACATGTGCGCCTGTCACTGGAGTTCCCAGATTAAAAAAAATTGCTACTAGGCCTAAGAAAAGAAATAAACAGATCATCAAGGCAGAAAATCAACAAAGAAACACTGAACTTAAAGAAGACACTGTAACAAATGGACCTGAAACATATCTACAGAATTTGGTCATTTTAAAATCTGAGTCTTTGCTCCCAGACTGAGCCATGCTCATAGCCAACAATGCTCTTCCCATATAGCCCTAGGAGAGGAAGAGGGAACACCTTCAGTTAACACTTTGCACATCCCTGAGCTACATGTGTATGCACTGTGTTCACCATATCAAAATCCTGGATACCTCACATTCAACAGGTATTTTAAGGAGGTTACTTTGTTTCAATGATCTTGCTGCTTTTTCTGACTTACTGCCTTATAGAAATAATAGATTCAGAATCAGAAATATCCCCTCTTGAAATGTTTGCATTGTTTTTGTGACTATATCAGTAATCATACAAGCGTATAAATTATTTATGTTTATACTACTGCTCTTTAAAATATAGTACTGTGACAATCCACCTGAACGATATCAGTGGACATGTTTTTATTTTGCTTTGTTTTTTTCCCTAAAAAGCAAAATGTCCACTTTATTATAATACAATTCTAATGTATCACTATATAATACAAGGTAGGACTCCTAATTATTCAATATTGTCTCCTAAAGTCTCCTTCTGCATTATTAGGAATACACAGGCAAAGACACACTGGCATAGTGAACAATTTTCTAGACTAAGAATTTAGATTCAGAATCCCACTCTTTTTTGCCATTGTCCTCGTCATTTATACTCTTTGACCAGTTTCTTT